TTAAAGTCCACAGATTGCACACTGGTTCGTTCAAATCTAACTCCAGAAGAAAATTGTATATTGACATTTTTAAGTGATGTGCCACAATTATTTTGTATATATTTTTTCTACAGTTGATTCAATTATAAAAAAAAACTTCGCTTTATAAGGAGATGCTAACCCTGTCGACGCACCCGTGGTCTCGCTCCTTTTGAAGTTCATGCGATTCCCTCAGTTTATGTTTGTTACTTTTAATCGATTTACGAGATTTGAACATCGGTAAACTACTGTAGCCTTAATTAACATAACAAAAAAAGTTAACTTCTTTTTATTTTTCATTTTTTCGTACGACAATGGCTGTAAATACAAAATAGCCTCCATATTTGTAAATAAAAGAAAAACTCTTCTTGACAAATGACAAGAGGGAAAACCTTTTCAAAAATATTTAAATCTTTCAGTGACAAATATTACTAACGCAATGATTTGAATATTGTCATTGTTTAAAAATACATGGATGTTAAAAAGTAAAGTTATAGCCAGTTTTGCGCCTTTATGTAAAGTAAAAATAAACGCTCTGACTTAAATTAACTATAAATAACAGGATTTGGACCTTCCTGTGTAATATTGTCAAGCATATAGTTAAAAAAAAAAATTCTGGTGTGTGTTTTGTCAATTATATGAGTCAGCGGAGACCCTCCTATTATATTCTAGACCAAGATATACTGATTCAGTAATTTTATTAAATATTGTAGCAAGATAATGCAGTTTGTTTTCATCCATATTTCATGTCGTGCAGTTTCCTCTTTTTATCTTCTTTTCTCTTTTTATTATGTTTAAGTGTTGTTGTAGCTGTATCATTGAAAAAATAAACGAAAATTAAACAACCTCAATACTTTAATACGGTGTAATGTGACAAAAATCATTTGAATGTCCTTATATATTTGATAGACATTTAAAAAAACTGTTAAATCATTTATATTTGGTTCGTCTTTTTGCAAATATTATAAGTACTTGTGTTTATCAACAAGGAAAATTTGGGGGTTTTGCTTTGTTGGTTGTTGTAGTTGAAAAACAACGAGATTAGATATTTTTAATAAGTTTCATTACATGATAATACTTGGAATCATTACTTTTCAGATTATAACTTACTTGCATTTTGTGTCTGTATTAATGAAGTTTTAGTTGTACTAATATTGAATTATAGTCTTTGGGGATACCGATTGTGACGAGAAGTTATAAATATATAATATTAAACACGCTGCCCTTTTTTTATATTTCTGTTTAATGGTAATAAACGTACACATTTTCCTTTACTCTTTCTTTGCAAGTAACATGCGTTTTTATGCCAAGCGTTTCCGGGATGACGCTATTTATTTTCTGCAAGCGACAGTTTTATGACAAATAAACATAAAATTGTTCCTCCTCAGCGCTTACATAATTACATACGTTATGCATTCATTACATATAATAATGATACTGGAATTTAACGTGCGAAGGAGAAATGGGACAACAACTTTATCCTAAAAGTTCTATTTTTCACTGATTTTGTATGTTAATTATATCTTTTTAAAACCAGTCAATGTTTGAGATGCCCTATCTTGGTTATGCATATAGTAATTCATAAAACAATCTGTTGACCTATAGATTTTTTTTGTTTTTTGGATTTATTGTATTGTTTGACTTTCTGTCTTAGTGTCGTATATTCCATATCTCCTTTTATGCAAAATATTAAAATATAATGAAAAAAGGGAACATGTCGAACAGATATACCAAGATTTGTTTAACTTTGTTCATGTCTGTAATATATGTCGTTTCATTTAATATGATCGTTTATATTTTTATATATTTGTTTTGCATGTAAACATTGTCCATAAGGGCGTTAATTTGTAAATGAAATGCATGGATTTTTCTTTTATTAATCAAAATCTTCGGAAGGAATTTTAGGACAGCTAAAAAAACATGATTCTTGAAAAAAAAATACCATTACGTAATTTTGACGAACGTGTCTACTCGTTTTTGTCATTTAAGAAAAATGTTCAAGATACACAAATTTACTTATCTTTGTGGTGCATTTTGTGTGAAAATATCCACATAAATTATGTGTTTTGAGGGCAACTCCCTCAGACAATATTGACAGTATACGATTTTGGTTTATATATTAAAAGGGTAACTTGGATTACCACAATGCTGGACAGCAGAGCAGACCACATCAACCACCAACATCAACTACTCAAAAAAAAAAATAGATAAATAAAGACAAACAACAAATTAACAACATATTGTTCAGATAACCTGACTTGGTACACGAGATTAAACGAGTACGCACACTGACACCCCCCCCTTTTTTTACTATCTACATCATATGTCGTAAAAGTATAATCTCAAATCTTTGGATTGTTTTGCTTTCTAAACCTTTTGTCTAGAGCTTCCCAGATGAAGGTTATTCGAGAAAGGTGTTGTACGAGTTTGAAATCGATATCATATATAGATTTGTAAAAGGAATTAGTTCTGTGTGTACTGGACATATTCAACTATTCGGTTTCCCGTTCTTAACTAAATTTAAAACGGTTCAAGATCTTGTAGTACACTCTTACAATTCATGTAAATTTCATCAAAACTGGCTATTAAGGTGGTATGGGTGTCTTCCGCCATTTTGGATTGTACAATTGCAGAACATAATAGGTCCAGATTTTCAATTAAGTCAGAAAATTTTGATGCAGGAGTGCAATTTAATTATACGATTTTTCATTTAAATGAACAAATTGGTGTGATTTTAAGTTACAATAAATAATATTTTTACAAAAGTAGAATATTTTTGCTCATTTTTTTTTTAACTTTGCGTGTTAAAGGGATGGAACTCAAAAATAATAGAATTTTTAAAGGAATCTGCAGGAAATGTGTCTATTTTATGTTATAGCAGGAAAAACGTACAATGAGACCCCGTTTATTTCTTTTGTATTCTGACAGCATTTTATGAGAGCTATTTTCTCAAATTGTATTTCAAAATTCTATCTTTTAGTTTTCCTTCTATTCACATTATGATGCTTTTTCTCTGTATAATCTACACAAAATGTTGCATACTTCGCCATCTGTAGCTTGGAAACAAGCTAGGTGAACTATAAATTTTATTATATTTTTGAACATATCATACTATATACTTCATTTTGATAATAAAGTATAAAAATAAATTCTCTCATTTTTTTTTATACTCCCATACCACCTTAACTTTTTCTATATGTCAGTCATTTCACAAAAATATAAACGAACGTATGCTTTGCAGATGCTAACTTGAAGATATACCATTGATATGCAATCTGTATCCTTCTCATTTGGTATATAAAGTGTTCAAATATCACCATGTTTAAAGAAATGCATAAAAATATCAGGTTAAAAACAAATATCGTGAGCTTTTAGTTTAAAGGTGAATAAAATTGAATAAATCAATATTTGATCTCCCTTTTAGCATTTGTCATAATCAATAGAAATTAATTTATATTTGATAAATTATTATTTTATTGTCTATGCTTCAAAGGTATGTTCAATTAAAATTTTCTTTGAAGCTAGGAATAAATTATAAAAAATAATCATAACCGGTTCGCAAATAACATTCAGAAATATAACATATTGTTTAAAATAGTCATTTCCAAAGAGAAGCCTGCAACAACAACAAAGACATCGAATGAAGGATATATGGGTAAACATTAATGACACACCAACAAATAAACACATAGTGACCCAGAAGCCGTTCACAGGACAACAACATTAGACAAGTGTTATAATACCTATTTCAAGTTCTAACTCGGTCCCATCCAGTCAAGTCGTGAATAAATTACCAGAAACTACTAAAAAACTACCATAAATCGACGATATTCAGATCTTATAGTATTGATTCCACCATTCACCAGCCAGTGTTATTTTAAAAAAAAATCTCATTTTGTTTTGGATATTGCGTATATAAATGGAATACGAGAGTTGATCATGATCATACAAAAAAGGGCCAGGGCCAATTTCCAATATAAAAAAGACGGTGTAGTTTGATTGCCAGAGAGATATTACTATCCACCAGAGACAAAATTGCGTAGATTTCTGATAGATACTGATTTCGCCCGCAGCTATAGGGTCATTTTTCATTAGTATTATTTCTTAATATCACAACTGTATGTGTTTATTGGTTTTTATGTTCTTTTAAACATTGAATCAGTTAAAATACTTTATATATGGCTCAAAACTACAATTTTTAGATTTTCGGCAAATTGTGAGTATTTATTCACATATGTATTCGAAAGATATTTTAAACCAAACATATATATAAGCTGGTGTGTACTACCGTTCAGATATAAGTAATGGGTGTCCTCAAAATAAACGAAAATGTTTTTCTTCTACAACGTGTAAAATTTGCATTTTGATGTTTGTTTTGTGTATCACGTTGATATATGTGTTTTAATCACAATTGGCTTTAACACGAATGTGTATGAATGAGTAAGTTAGATTTTGTTGATATTTTCTATAAATGTTGAAAACGTTTTAAAAAAGTAATTTTCTGATACTAGTATTACATTCTACTAAGTTTCGGCTCAGATATTGCCTCTGTGAGTAAAATAGACGCAGGACAAAAGGCCATCGTAGCTTTTTAAAAACATTTCAAATCAAAGAAAATTATTTTTAGAAAATAACTATATCCTTCGTCTCAAATTTAGCCCAACTATGTAGATAGATGTAACGTTTCTAAATAACAGATTATTCAAGTAATATAATATGATACATGGATATAGATTGCTGTCATACATGTGCAGAACACTATACATCATTATATATTATTTTCAATTAATACATGCATATTTAATTGTTAGTTCTAGTATTAGCGACAACACTAGAAAAAGTTTCAAGATTGTTTTAAGCTATTAATTTTTTATAGCAATATACCATCATTGTATTCCGAAAGATTTTAAAATTCAGCTACACTAAAATGGTTATATCGTCGTATTAATTTTAAAGAACATGCACACTATTATGATTTATACCTCTGTTTTTATTTTCTTTTTTATCCATGTCATCAGATAGGCATTGGTCGGATGGCGAAGGAGGACATGATGAGGGACCACAAATCCCGGTGTTATATGATTCTGAATTGTCACAGTTTAGTCCACTACTCGAAGAATTTGGTCCTAGTAACCGTGACGTTCCTGTATTATTATGATGTATAGATGTCCCATATTCACGTGAAACCGGGAAAAAACTTGATGGCGCTGTATTTAACGTCCTGTTAAAATTAAATCCTGTAGCATATGGTCCCGACATGAAACCCCAATCACTTGGGTATGAAGAATAACCAAATCCTGAAGGTGGGGTTATTCCAACCCCACCAGATGGAGGGTGCATGCAGTCAAAAGCACTATTTCGTTGAAAGAATCGTCCCATTGCGCTATAGCCCAAACCACTGTCAGAGCAATTTGTGGAAGAATTCGGATTAATTCCCCGTTCTGTTTCTTCCATTATGTTGGTAAGAAAACGACAATTCCTAATTTCTCGTCATAAATCTACAGTTAAAACGACGAAAATGAGTTCTTCAGATGTACTCTGAGCAGACGGTAATAAGTCAAGAACAGACGATAGGATCAAAAGTTGTTAAACCGTCACTGAAATTTGATGAGCCAATCAAATCACAGTGTTGGCACATCTCCTCTGCTGTTCACGCGATTTTGTTTACGCCTCGTCAGGATGGTGCATTTATAGGTGTTGAATTTTGATGGGAGCAATTTGTCTTATCAAGCAACACATATCTCTAATTATGTAAGATTGATAAGAATCACCTCTCAGACAAATATTTGCATCCATCATACGTCACGTTTGATTTCTACATGCTGGACACCGACTGTATATTCAAATTTAATAAAACATAAAATAATTATCATCAGTGCAAATAAACTAATTTTACAATATAGAATTATTCTTTCATAACTTACACGAGGATAAGACAAGATATTTAAATGTTCATTTTATATATTCATGACGCACTTCGTTCATTTTTACGTATTATACAAAAGACAGTTTTGTAACATTGTGTTCGTACAAAAATAGTGTTAAAAGGAAAAGGATATTTTTTCATGAGACAGCAACCCAAAACATTGGTCAACTAATCGTTAAAATCGATGAGAAAACACAATATTAAATGATAAGCCAAATGAACTTAAATATAACTCAGGTTTGATGTATTTATGTTGGTTTATTTTGGTTTTTCTACCGTTTCATTTTAGAGTTGTATTTTGTTTTCACTAAAAACTAACAGTAACATAATTAATAAAAGTTAGAATGTTAATTATTTTCCTATATGTACACATAAGCTAGGTTTTCACGGTCATGATTTTTTTCTCTGTCTCCGTTTTCTTTCGATGCTGACGTGATATTATTAACGAAATTCGAAAATATGAAAATAAGACTTCATGTAGATGGTGGTGTGCATCTGCTTAATATATGATGTAAGGCATGGACCATTTGACTTTCGGGAGGGGGGAGGGGAGGGGTGGGGCCAGGGTTCTTTTTTAAAACAAAATAATCTGGCCTCTTTTTTGACAAAAAAAATAATCTGGCCTATTCAGTTGCTAAATATTCTGGCTTCATGTCCTATTCCTTTGTCTTTACAAATGTTGAAAAAAATATTCTTGCTTTAGATTGGATTGACTGAAAAAAAATATTCTTGCTCGGTTTGCATGATAAAAAAAAATCTGGCTTGATATAAAAACCCAATCCCCCCCCGAAAGTCAAATGGTCTTTGCCTAATTACAAAACTTATACTGATAAAGTAAACGAACAATCATAAATTGGTCCAGACTAGATTTGTTCTCTCACAATTATCGCAATACACCAAATTCTATGTTCCCATAAAATGCCCATTCATTATTTTCTTTGCCAGAAAAAAAATAATTTATGAATGCAACAACTACCGAACTCTCACTATCAGCCTATTATATGGCTAATATACGGTGTATTTTGTCCTGAACAATTGCCTCAGCTATGCAAGGCACGTCTGTTTCTCTGAGAAATGGACATTTCTTAGTATTATTCTATGCTTCATTCTGACAAAATTTACATGATGGACGATGAGAGCTGATGCTATAAAAAAAAATGTTTGGTTGTTTTACACACAAACATGTTAACTGGTTTACACCCCTTGGCTTTTGATAGAAGACCCAAATCAACCAAACTCAAAAAAATTCTTGAGAAATGCTATTTTCCATTTTCCAAGATAACCATATATCTATAGCAGTAATCAGAATTGTTTCTGTATATTAACTTCATATCAAACGTACACGTATTGGAAGTAAATAAGAGTCATATGCACTTTTATAGAAATAAATCAACAAAATAAGTATATTTGATTGACAAAACATGGGTTACTGATCTTTACAAATTTTCTTTAAAAAAGAGTAGTTGACGCATTTTTGAAAAAATATATTGTCGTCAATCTTCTTAATCACATTCTTGAATCTAATCGTGGCATTTTTCACACCATATACCAGAGGAAAGTCATCAATTTGTAACAGTACACTAATAACGAGGAAGGGTTGTTGATTACACTGTGAAATGGATTAACCGTTTCAAAAGCAACACGTGTTTGTTGATATTTACATTTGTTTCTATTTACTCTGGAACCAATAACGCCTTCACTCAGCCGTGAAAAATGACATATTTTCTTTCTATTTCAAGTTAATTATTGTCAATACAACTTAGGCAACAGCTTTGTGAACATCTATGCGAACAATTACATTGTATACACTTAACTGTATGTACATGCATTTGTAAAATATTTTAACACCTGAGTTAACGCCACATAAGGCAAATTGATTAAACTGTCAGTCATAATATTGGTTTCTTTTAAGTCATATGATACTTCAAATTTAAAAAACAAAGTTGAATATGTTTCATATCATTGAATGGCTAAGTTTTACTATAAAATAAGTGTACGTGGACTTTCTTGTAAAAGAAAATCTGTTATCTAATCAAAATGTTCAAAAATGTACTGCTATTGAATTTTTGTCTGCCCGTAATCTAATTCGCCGATATTTTTCACTATGCAGTGACCTTAACTACGAGACCTCTCATTAAAACTTCGGCCAACGCACAGCGCAAGTGCGAGAGAAAACCCGTGATGAAAGAATTTAAACAAACGTGCACAGGAGTTCTTAAGGAACAAATTCAATACAACAAATCATTTAACAACTTTAATGAAAAAGTTAAATTAACAAATGGGAACGCATGGAAAATATAAAAAAATAAGTTGCTTTCTTTAAAAAAGAGAAAAGCAATGCGTGAACCCGAGACCGCTGGTCACCAAAAAATTGTTATTGTTTTTTTTATTTTGCTTTTGATTTGAAATAATTGACTGTGAATAGAATATTAAGGTAATTTAAACGATGATGCTAAAACACTTTTAGAGAACGTTCGGGAAATTTAGACTGCCACTGAAATGAGGGTATATTGGATATGGACAGATTTTGATTTGAAATAATTGACTGTGAATAGAATAAGGTAATTTAAACGATGATGCTAAAACACCTTTAGAGAACGTTCGGGAAATTTAGACTGCCACTGAATTGATGGTATATTGGATATGGACAGAAATTTTGCCTTGCAACAGGCCACCTACGAACCCTTCAAAGAGTTGTTGCAAGGGGTTTTAACGTGCAGTGAGCGAGGTACTCTCTCTACAAGTACCATTCTGACCGGATGTGGCTACGTACCTGAACATCCTGCACAGCCAAACGGGCGTCCCACTTTGGAAAGGGTTTTACTGCCGATCGGAAGAGGACCTAAGTGACCATATTTCTATTCCCCATTCCCCCTTGTATGTAAACAACTTTAGAAGGGTTTGTTATAAATCAATCTAGTACCGACTACTGAGCTGATGATAAACTCGGGGACTTATCCAATGTATTTTTAAATAAACAACAAAATACATTTAATACGATCCTTTTGAAATAATAATAAAAAAAAGAATAAATGTGTATATAATATGCGTACACCTCACAAATATATATTGTCAATTTCTATTCTTTTAATTTCTGATGGAAATTTAGACTGCCACTGAAATGAGGGTATATTGGATATGGACAGAAATTTTGCCTTGCAACAGGCCACCTACGGACCCTTCAAAGAGCTGTTGCAAGGGTTTTAACGTGCAGTGAGCGAGGTACTCTCTCTACAAGTCCCATTTTGACCGGACGTGGCTGCGTCCTTGAACATCCTGCACAGCCAAACGGGCGTCCCACTTTGGAAAGGGTTTTACTGCCGATCGGAAGAGGATCTAAGTGACCATATTTCTATTCCCCAGTCCCCCTTGTATGTAAACAACTTAAGAAAGGTTTGTTATAAATCATTTTAGTACCGAAGTACTGACTACTGAGCTGATGATAAACTCGGGGACTTATCCAATGTATTTTTAAATAAACAACAAAATACATTTAATACGATCCTTTTGAAATAATAATAAAAAAAGAATAAATGTGTATATATCATGCGTACACCTCAATATATATTGTCAATTTCTATTCTTTTAATTTCTGATGGAAATTTAGACTGCCACTGAAATGAGGGTATATTGGAAATGGACAGAACTTTTGCCTTGCAACAGGCCACCTACGGACATTTCAAAGAGCTGTTGCAAGGGTTTTTAACGTGCAGTGAGCGAGGTACTCTCTCTACAAGTCCCATTCTGACCGGACGTGGCTGCGCACTTGAACATCCTGCACAGCCAAACGGGCGTCCCACTTTGGAAAGGGTTTTACTGTCGATCGGAAGAGGACCTAAGTGACCATATTTCTAATCCCCATTCCCCTTTGTAGGTAAACAACTTTAGAAAGGATTGTTATAAATCATTTTAGTACCGAAGTACTGACTACTGAACTGATGATAAACTCGGGGACTTATCCAATGTATTTAATAAACAACAAAATACATAATCTGTTAGCTTTAATACGATCCTTTTGAAATAATAATAATACAAAAATGTGTATATAATATGCGTACACCCTGAGACTAATTATTCTTTTAATTTCTGATGGAAATTAAGCTATGATTGTGCTTTATTATAGCATGCGCTTGATCAAACTCCTCTTCACAGGGAGCATTTGAACATTGTTCTTGATTTCCATTTCTAGAACGATAAAACATATTACCATCAAGACAAATATAGTAAATGAAACATTTAGGATATAATATTAGTGTCTGTAAAAAAAACCCACACATTTACCTGCTTCGCACCCTATGTGTACGTACGTCTCAATCCAACATGTCTAAGCTCACACAAAGATTGTTAACATCACTAAATGTTTACTGTAGGAAATCCATATGTGTACACTACCGTGAAGATTTCTGAATACAAATGAACAATACCTTTTTATGAAATGTACGTGTCACACAGCATTATCAAACTGGTTTAATGCATTGTTTCGTGCATTGAAAAGTACTTATTTGAACCTTTTCATTGTTTTTTAATTGTAAATGCACTGACATAAAAAAAAACGGACACATAAAAATGAATTTCCTCTCCAAAATGTCCTTTTCAATGCA